TTATCCAACACAAGCTGCACACCATTTCTCTGGATGTAAAAACCATTAGAACATAAGAAAACCATTCTGGATTAGGCTGATGGTCCATTTAGTCCACCAGATAGCTCAGGCAGGAGGGGTGCAAGAACATCTCTTGCCTGAGCTCCTCAGCAGCTGGTGTATGCAGGCAAGCCACCTCTGGTGAAGGAGGCAGCACACAGCCAGAAGGCAAGCAGCCACTGACAGCCTCCTCTCTCAATATGATTTTAAAGCCATTCAAATTGGTGGACATCCTCACTTCCCGTGGCAGCAAATTCCATAGTTTTAGTATGTGTGAAGAAGCACTTCCTTTTATCTGTCCTAAACCTCCCACCAATCAGCTTGATAAAACCATCTACCTACAGTGTCTCCATCATGTCATTCATTCAACCCATTACCACATCCCAGCACTGGTACAGCACCTGGGCAATCTCCTTTTCTTCACCCATTTTCTCTAGCTCAATTGCTCCAGTATGCCTTTCTTTTCCTTGAAGGATGTGTTTCCTAAAAGCAAATGCTGTGATCAGTGGCATGATTACCTAACAGGTTAAACTTAGTTTGGAGTTTGTTTGTTTGTTTGGAGTTGAAGCGACAGTGCTTCATCCTGTATTATCATGATTACTTTTAAGAGATGGGTTCCATAAGAGCCTGTAATACTAAAACCATGTAATCAATCCTGTTTACTGAGCCCTTGCTCTCATTAATTATTTGTTAATATAGCATGTGATTATATTAACCCCATTTGCCACAGTATCACCCTGGGAACCTATGCTCAGCATTTGTTCATTAAGTCAATCTAACATCTCAAAATAAGAAAAATCTGCAGTTATACCTACTAAATATTGAGACCTACTTAAAATGAAATAGCATGTAACCTTGATAACTACTGACATTCCATGGGAAATGGAAGTCAGACTGTTCCCTAACATTCTCTGGATATGGGCAGTGCTGTTTTGTCACATACAAGAGCAAGTTTGTGCTTTCTACAAGACATGTCCTCAAAATTCAGCCTTGTGCAATCTACTTGTTCTACTAGAACTCCAAGATCCTCCAAATGGACCCTGACCAGGGCCATCTTAACGCATGGGCCTGATGGGCACTTGCCCATGGGCCCCATACTAATCTGTGTATGTTAACCCTTGGAAAATTGGAAAACTTCCAAAGTTAACAGTAGTTGTAGTTGTCATAGGGCCCCAGTACACTGCTTTTCCCAGGGCATAATGCTGTTAAGATGGCCCTGGCCCTGATGTAAGATCATAGGATCCTTTCAATATCAAGCAAATACGTATACTCACAGTTGTTTACACGATCTTTATAAGAAGTCTTTATAGGACATTCACTCACAAGCATGAAATAATATGAACCACAAGCATGAACTTACAACAGGGTGGGGAAACTGTAGCCTTCCCAAATAAATCTATCAACCATGGGATTGACTCTTATTGGAGTCAACAATATCTAATGAGTCATCAGTTCCCTGCTCTATAGATATACATAACAGCCATTGTTATTTTTGTTATGTGCCATCAAGTCATCTCTGACTGATGGTGATCCTATGAATGAAAGCTCTCTAAAATGTCTTATTCATGACAGCTCAGCTCAGCTCAGTTCTTGTAAATTCAAAGTTGTGGCTTCCTTTATAGAATCAATCCATCTCATATTCAGTCTTCCTTTTCTTCTGCCTTCAACTTTCCTTAGCATGATTACCTTCTCCAGGAAGTTTTGCCTTCTCATGATGTGTCCAAAGTACAAGCCACAATTCCAAACCAGAAAATGTAAATACGAAGCATGAAAACTGGTCAGCTAAAATCTGATGAACTGATATTTTGTGGGGATGCAATGGAAAAGCTACCACATACATTTTTCTGCTACACTCTATTTTTAGTTATAAACATTCTTCATGGTGCCCAGTGTATGGCTAGCTATTCAGCCTTCTATTCCTCTGTCTTATGTCTCAGGGAAGAATTATTTTCAGAGTTTTTTCATTAGAAATCAGTTGTGGGAAGGAAGAAATAAACCATTTTCAAGCACTTCATGTTGCAATCTACCCCCTACTAACTTTAAGCTATGCACATAAACTACAGAGAATAAGAAGCATTAAAGTAAATTATGCAAGCCTATGCACATATTTTATATAAAAATCTCAGCACTTACTATACAACATACTTGAAGCCAATCTAGACTTTTCTTCACATCTAGTATTTCTTCGGCTCAGTCTTCAACATACTGAGACAGATTTCTACTGCATCTGATGTAACACACACATACAGAGGTAAAAGAAAATTCACCCTACAACATCTATGATTTTTGTAAATGTTGTTTATTGTAACATAATATTTTACTATTTTATTCATTTATTTATGTTTAAATTTAAAAAAACGTAACTCCTTTAAAATTAGATTGCTAAAAATCTACTATTTCCCTTTTCTCCTGATTTTTGGCCAGTTTTGATAAAAAGAGAATGCTGTTCTTTTTCCCTTCCCTGAGATGTTCCTCTTGCAGGAAGTTCTTGAAAAAAATGTGACGTTGCAACAGAAAAGTTTAAGAATTTTTTCTTCGATGTGTTTCTATAAGAGTAGGATCTCAGATATATGTGTGTATTTTTTGTGAAAATATGGGTACTGTTGTATTGTACCCTTGTTTATTTAATATGTGCATGCATTTTGCATTTATTCACTGACCTGATGTTTAAGTTCTGAAATTGTTTGCAGGTTATTTGTAGTATTTTTATTATTAGTGAATTGTCTTATTTCCTTCTTTGATATTGTATTTGATGCTATTGCATTATGTTCAAGGCTGGTAGGTGCTCTTCTTTTGGAAGAAAAAGCAGGATACAAAGGCAGATGATACTGGAGCTTCAACAATCTCCTAAAAATCCTTGCAGATGTTCCATTTCCTGTGTAGGAAAAATGTATGAACCAATTCATACATGGGGTTAGGGGGGTAGCAATAGTGTATGTGTCCCAAGAAGTCACATTAGGAAAAGCAGAAGTTGTTTCCTGAGAATCTACTGCGTATAGACACAGTTTGACTCTCTTTTTAGCACTGACTTGTGGGTGACCTTAGGCAAAAGGTACAAAAACAAGTAATACTGCACCAATGTCATGATGACATTGCACAGAAGGAACAGAAGAGACAGCCTACAGTGTTATCAAGAGTGTTGGTCTTTGGAAAATGCCAAGAGATAGTTGATTATTCTACCTCTCCAAGCCTGTATGTGCTCATTTTGAGTTATGTGGAAAACAAACCTTAACAGAAATCCTGAATGAGAAAATACAAGAAATAAGCATATTGGTTTCCCTGATAGATGTTCTGGATACTTTGCTATGAGTATAATGTGCCTGCATTAATGGAAATTCACAATTAACTTTGGGGAGTGTTATTTGTGGTATGTACATTCCATGAACTGGATCATCCTAAACTAAAATAGACCGGGTAATCTAGTGTTTGTGTAACTGGTGCCTGAAGTTTAGAAACGGATGCCACGGCAGTCTTGAAGTTCATGGCCAAATGCACTTTTATATATGAAATAGTTCATCATGCTCCAACAGGAGAACTATAGCAAGGATGCCTTGGCAGAATGCCTGGAAGATGAAAGCCCTTTAAAAGAGAAATCTTAAAATGCCAAGTTAGAATTCTGGAGTACCATTGGCAGATATTGCTTCTTTCATGCTCTTCTGCTCTTTTGTGTGCTTCTTTTCAACGCAGCTGTGCAGAGCTGCAGTCCTGGTTCCAGTCAATGTTCTCTCAATAGAACTGCTGCGAGTTCAAGCTTCCTTCGGTCAGATATTAAAGGATGAATTTCATAAAACAGGACAATACGCTAGGATTCACACTTGCTAAACTTGAATAATCACGGTGAAGGGTAAAATAATAGTTCACTCTTTGTCACAGGCAGAACAAAGAAGAAAGGATATCCTTTAGAATAAAATTCCATGCTTAAAGGGTTTCCCATAAAAGAGCATATTCTTTTCATCCGTATGTCACCCCATTCAAGAGACCTGCCTTTAAGAGTGAATTGACAGTTGTCAAACTTCTGCAATGGCAACTTTCAAGATGATGGGATTTTAATGACATTCCTGAATCCTATTTGACATTTGGCATGCAAGAGAAAAGAGCAAGAGGCACCACCTGCAACTCCCCTCTGCCCCCAGCTGCTGTTAGAGAACTTTGTGCCGAATGCGCTTTCAGTCACCTTTCAGATCTTTAAGCGTTAAGTGCTCAAAGATCCCTGATAGAAGTCAGGTGCATAGCAGAGTTGTGACTGGGTCTTGCAGGTCCCTTTTCATATCTTTCTTCAATATGTGAAATGAGAGCACTTTTATGTATGCCATGCACAATGCGATGCCTGAGAGTACTTCCATAATTACAACTGGGGATCATCTATTTCATTCATTAGAGGTGCACAGTCATGGCAGGGCAGTGCTGGTGCATAAGTTTCAGCGGCCTGGTCTCCATGGCTCTATTCCAGCCCTCAGACAAATCTTGGGACCCAGGTCCACTGCTTGGTCACTGACAGCCACCCAGCTTCATGGCAGTGCTCAAGTTAGGACCAACCACAGCACAGGATGCCATGATGTGCCATGCTAGCCTAAAGAGCACATCTTTAAGGATGTGGCCCTTCACAGCTGTCATTTCCAGGTATTTTGGAACTTGGGTGAACATGGAAAGCCCTTCACGCAACATGTTAAACTGAAAAGCCTTTTTAAATTGAATATTATACTGTGCAGAAAAAGGTATTTATAGACTTAAAGAAGCTCTTCATATATCCTCAAAGAAATGGAGCAATTATTATCAGCTGTGATTATACTTAACCACTGATTAAAATGATTGTTACAGGTGTGTTGCAGAGCATTTCATTTCTACCAGCAATTGGATATATCAGAAGTATTTATGTGAAACACTAATTTCAAAAACAAATGTATATTCAATTTAAATATGCAACCAGTTATACATGAGGAAAAAAAACATGTAATGAAATATCCCTTTTTAAATTTTATTCTTTAAAGACAGATTGTACAATATGTTTTCTGGGACTAGAAATACTATTCATTCTATACAAACAAATTATTCTGTGATCCAAAATCTTGGCAGTAACAATGAACTATATGGCTGACATCATGTTTTCACAATCTGATATGAATGTTAAGATCTAGCATATTGCTGAAATCAAATCTCCTTTAAAAAAAGATTAAAATTTGTCATTTTTCCTTTTTAATTTCATAACTACAGAAGTGCCAGTATAGACAAAAATGTTCAAGCACTGTAACAGCTTCTGGGAAACTGAAATTTCAAATCAAGCCATGATTGCTTCAGAAGAAATGATGCACCACTTCATGTGATTAAATGCATTTTTTGTTTGGACTTACAGTAAGAACAAGATACGTTTCTTGTACCAGCTTTGTACAGTGGGCAGATCTTTTGTTACCCGAGTTGTCTTTCCAAGCCATGGTTATTCCTAGGTGCATGAGTTTCCCAAGAGTCATTCCTGCTCATTCTGGATAGGTTGGCGCTCTGGAAGTACCTTGGGCCGTAACTTCTGCCAGCGCCCTGGAGGCCAGAGTATATGTGTAGCACGGGCATGCAAAAGTCCAAGAGAGACCTGAAAAAATAAGCAAAATACAGACATAGAAAAATGTGAAAAGCAGCTGAGAAATGAGGATGACATGTGGCACTTAAGCATTTGTTAACTGTAGTCATTGCACCACATTATATTTGTGGCTGAGGCTGAATCACTCCTTGGTGGCTATATATTTATTTACTTATTTGGTTTGGGCAGCCTCTTCCTTTTTCTGTCTAAAAGAGGGAACATTTCAAAAAAGGGCTGTTGCTAAAGAATGATGAGGAGGATAAAGAATCCAAAATGTGAATAAGAACTGATGGCATAAAATTTTGAACAACTTGATCTATATAAAAATGGACTACCTAAGTAAAGGATCAGAAAGGATTATGATTTGTGATGATCCCCAAAGTCCCTTCCTGTTGGATGCTGGAGGCTGGGTGCACTCCAGTGTGAACATAGAACTGTTGCCTGTCCTGGCTCTCCACTTGCATAGAACAGCTGAGGCAATTTCTGGTGGAAAGGAAGCCACTTTCTAAATCAGAAGTTAGCAACCTTGGGCCATCCGGATGTTTTGGTCTATAACTTCTATCAGCCCTGGTCAGCAAAAGCATTAGTGAGAGAGATCCAGTATGGTGCAGTGGTTTGGAGTGCAGGACTGAGACTCAGGCAATCTGGGTTCTAGTCCCCATCAGCCATGGAGCAAACTGGGTGACTTTGGGCCACTCACAGACTCTCCACCAACACTCTTCACATGGTTGTTGCTGTGGGGTAAGAGGAGAGCAGCAGCAGGAGAATGATGTAAGCTGCTTTGCGTTCCTTAAAAAAGAAAAATAGTGGGCTATAAATTAAATAATCCCTAGGATTGATGAAAGTTGTATGCCAAAGAGATGGAGCACCACAAATTCACCTCCCCCTGTCCCAGTTTGGTGATAATGTTATTTATTTGTACTAGTTATATACTACTAAGTATAATAAACCCCTAAACAATTTACATATAAGCTTCAAAATAACATTCAATACAACTGATTCCATGCTTGGTGTACCCTCCACTCCCTCACAGCAGGAACAGAAAGAACTGTGCCGACTGCTTTGCCAAGGTTGCTGACTGGCCTCGGTGAAAGTGTTCAGGGAGAGGAGAAGAACATCACCACCAATATGCGTGGTATTCTGGTGGCACTTAAGTTTCCTTTCCTCTCCCACCCAGGTGCTGACCCTAGACAGCTGAAATCAGCCATCCAGCTGCTTGGCAGGGCAGAAGAAGAGCAGAAGTAACCTTTGCCACTGTGCACCTCCAATTCAATGTAATTGCATCAAATGCCCACAATCTGAGTTCAGACTTTAGAGTTTATATGCATATAAACTCTGAGTTCAGAGTTTATAGCCATCCCTATAGGATCGTGTCCTTAATGTATAACATGCAATTACATTATATACTTGCCGCAGAACTTCTGTGCCTACAGCAACCTGTCCTCTTAAAGATTGTTTTGCACATCTGTCAACAAGTCACACTATTTGGCAAGTGCATGGAATGCAAAGGGTTCCACGTTCAGTCTCTGGCATCTCTAGGCAGGATAGGGAGAGAATCCTGGAGTGCCTCTGTCAGTCAGTGTAGACAATACTGGCCTTGAGGAACCAATGATTTCATGGTGTATCACATGGCTTCCTATTTTCCTAACACAGATGTTACCAATTATGGGTAGCCAAGAGATGTTCAGAGAGAGAGAGGGAGAGAGAGAAAGAAAGAAATAGATCATGATGAAAGGACTATTTTTCATTAGGTCTCCAAAATGAAGGACTATTCTCTCTGAAGTCAGGCATCTGGCCACCATTTCCAGCAAAGCAATGACAGTAATGTGTCATTGTATTCTATGGAGACAATTTGGCCAAAATGGTCCTGTGCTCACTGAGGGAGCCATGCACTTTTCAGTAACTCATGGGTGTGAGAGGTGGTGGAGGGCCGTGGCACTTGACTAACTATCCTGGTTTCTTATAAATGGAATTCAGATAGTAAGAGTAACAATTTAGCTGTGCGAGTGACTCATTAAACCAAACCTGAAATTGGCCTCTGTATAAAAAGCAAGCAAAATGCGAGAAATGTTCAAGCTCTGTCTTCCCATCAGTTTAACTTTTCTGACACAGAAACATTAAAACCAAATGCTGCACCATTCTCTTGTGAAATAACTATTATCGAAAAAAAATTCACTTCATTTTCTACAGGGGATGCAAATGTTACATTGCCTATTATGCCACAGTCAGAACTCATTCCAATCAAATTATGCTGGAGATGAAAGTATTTTATCCTGTGATTCTACCCCTTTTTGCATGTGCCTGTTAGATGACACTTACTTTCTGGGCAGATTGGCCTTTGGATATTCTGGCCAGAACTAGGTGAATTTGATGAGAAACTTTCAATTCTCACTGATCCTATATTTTGCTCCTAAATGACAATATAAATATTGGCTCTAGCAATACTTATCCAACCACCTGAAGTCCGACACTTCACAAATTGCTTTTATTTTTATAGATTGAAAGAATTCATGGTGCACTGTGCCATCACCTGCCTCCATGAAGGCCAAGTATTGCAGAAATGAAATAGTCACGTTTTAGAACGGCTTCCAAATGCAGAACCCTTGCAGAAGGTAAATTGAGCTGCAGTCTGAAAACAAGTTAATAGGTGTCAGTCAGATTTATGTATCAAATTGTACACTTAGCTAGTGCAAGAATAACTGAAGCATTCATGGAATTTTGCAAGTGGGTTCCCACCCACTGGCAATCAGTTCTTGATCAAAATACCATGGCTATGACCAGATATCTGACATGGGAACTTAACTTAGAAACTGGATATTGCAAGGAATTAAAAGTGTGTCTAGTTTCCCTGCAAAAGCACATCCATTTTTGTTGCTGAAGATACTTTCTCTTTGCATTGCGGTTTCTGCAATGCCATTTTGGCACTGTCAGCAAAATAGCTGCAGAGGGGTAAGATTCCCTTTTGGTTCCAAGGGTGCCACTGTGACCTACCAAAACCAGAAGTTGCTCACCCCAGCAGTTTCACCAAAGAGAGAACTTGTGTTCCCATTGCCACCATGTGATCACTATGAGGGCACCTTTGAAATTTGTTTCCTCCCCCAAACCAAAGCAAAAGTTACATATTCCAAATTTGACAGTCTTGAAAAAAGAGGATCTTCCAGTTTTTAGTTCCCTAAGCCAAAAAGTTGTATTTTTAGAGGGCATATACAAGTCCCAAATGAAGCACTGATATCACAAATTACAAATCCACAGCACCTTAAATCATTGAATCAATTTAACAGAAAAAGAGAAACAGTGGCATGAAGTGGAAACTTGGTCAGTACTTAGACTGGGAATGATAATAAAGAATAGCTTTGCATGATGGGAAATGGAAAGTCCATTGCTCTGAAAGTGATGCATAGCCACTGCAGGAAATGAACTACTGAGTCATGTCCTCTTTAAGTTGAGGAGCCATAATTTAGTGGTGGAGCATCTGCTCTGTAGATAAAGCGTTCTCATAGCCTATGGCATCTCCAGTGAGAACCAGAAAAGCACCTTCCAGAAACTCTAGGGAGCTGGTGCCTGTCAGGACTGACAATACTGGACTAGCTGAGCCAATGATCTGATTTGGTCCTCCCAAGCTTAGAAGCAAGCTGAAAAAGGTTTGGAACCAAGTTCAGAAAAAGGACATGGTTATGTTGCTAAATGTTGGGGAGGGAACTCTTCCAGTATCAAAATCATTTTTATGGTGCATTATGGAGCTGGAATTTCCCTACTTGAAATGGCTCAGCTGAAAAGAAAACATAAGAGATAGTGCTTTGACTACCTTTATAATGATATGAACAGATTTTTCTTCCCAAAGAGGTGGCAAGAACACCCTGCATGCTTGCAGACTGATGTCTTCCCTGAACTGTCAAAGCACAGCACAGCACAGCTCAAGCCCAGTAGTCTAAGCAGTGCTTGGAATCTCTAGCTAGGATTTTATCCCGGGATGTTTTACTCTGGGGCATTGTAGGATGGCAGCTGGACCTAGCTACTGGATGAGATTACCATCACCACCAGATCCAGAGGAACACCAGAGAGCACTTTTCACTACCTCTCCTTAAACACGAACGCCTTCATGCTTTATATCAAAGGCCTTAAAGACCAGTTGATAGAAAGCTTCTCATCAGAAATTATACAATGAAATACTTTGTTATAAGAGGTCTTATTAACCTAATTCCTGACATGTATATAGTTTAGAATTTCTTAGGGATCTTGATGTGCCTGAACTAATCTGAGGGTAAGAATGCAGACATTGTGAAAGTCAATTGAGGGCTTATATTTTAAAGGAGAGTCTTTTTATACGCTTTTAGATCAGAGATTGCTGACAGCTGTGTGCAATTTTGAAAAACCTTCTGAACATCTGAAAGACCATTTTTCTCATAAAACATCTATGCCTAACTCAAGGCTGTATTTTTGATCACTTCGAGGCTCTTCACAATTCATCTTGGGCATGCGATAGGCTTAGATACCTTCAGCCATTTCCCATTCATCAAAAGAGCAGGCCGTTCAGAATTTTATGCAAATAGACACCAAACGACCCCCTAGGAATATTTCTAGCTAATTCTCTTGATTTAATTTCCCCAGAATCATGTGTATGCACCAATCTCACTCTTCTCTACATAATCAAATCACTGAAGTTGAAGTGGCCTGTATCTAATTTAATATTTTCTAGCTTGATTAAACAGGTGCTGAATTACTTGAATATAATTTGGTTACTTAACAATCCACACTATTGATACTAGATTATTTCTGTTGCTGGATTTACTCATGGTTTTTTTCATCAAATTGCACAACCATATTACATATTTGGAGATGACTCCCAAACCCAAATATTTTTATTGAAGTATAGTGTTCAAATCTTGCCATGCTTTAAGACAATGGTTTGAATATGCCTTCCAGTGTAAGATTTGTCATACTTCCCTGTTTGTGGTATGGAAAATGCAAAACTCCATTAAGATCCATTCTTAAATATATATCACTTAAGGAAG